GATGAAAAATTTATGGAAGTTGGATTGTGACTTTGGAAAAATATCTAAGAATTAGTTATCTAATTTAGAAAATTGAAATTAGACTCAATATTTTTCTTTAACCAAGGAATATATATAAACTTAAAGAACAAAATAGACCATTCCATAGTACTTCATTTTTAAGGCCTCAAAAACACACACACACACACACACGTGTGTGTGTCTCTATATATAATATATACATATGTATTTATTAATCACGACAGGATTATTAAAATAAACAACTTGTATTATTAGTTTTGCAATAGACATACCTCGTGATGCATCTCCAATATATAGGTGTTGAGAACGCCATGGCACTGGAGGATCTTAAACGAAGCCCTCCAAGTCTTTTCAACAATAGATGTTGATAGACTTCTTTCTTTCCTTTCTATTGAATTCATTGGGTTGGGTAACTCAGCTTGCTCCTAACGTAACATTATTTGATGTTGAATTATTTCCAGAATATTACATAAAAAAGTAGCTAGGAAAATAAATACTTATATATAAGAATATTTGAAAAAAAATCTTTAATGTTGTTTACGAACTATTAGCACATACATAGCTCGAAACTTGAATGAAGTTTTCCAAATTAATAAAAAAATCATTGAAGTTTAAACCAAAGAAAAGAAAGGTAATTACACATGTAGTAGAAAAAATATACGAATTTCACAAAATAGAACATTAAATATAAAAATCTCTTATTTATATTGATTATTACTGGTAGTCACTGTTATCATTGTTATCATGCATTCAAATACATTGTGAAATTGAACATAAAGATGAAAAAATAAATGTGGTCTTCATTATTGCCTAAAAGAGATGGTGCCTCCTTCTAAATTATTCACACTTTTATTGATTTTATTTTATATGTTGGATTTAATTTTTCTTTAGGAAAAAAGAAAATTTAATTGTAGTCTTGCATATATATTGTAAAGTCAAGTGGCGCTTAAATCAACGAAACGGAAGAATTTTCAAATTCTAACTTTAGCATAAATATATCCTTTTATATCTATTATAACAAATATATTATAAGTTGTAGATCATACTGTCATGTCTATTTTCACGTAAACTATTTCATGCATTTCGCGCCATAAAATTTATAATGATTTTGTAGATCTACGATCAACTCATCATGAAGGTTATTGAATGCTAATCACAATTATTTCCCATCAAAACATTCTCATAAATATAGAATAATTTTCACACAAAATTACATTGATAGATTTGAAAATTTGGATCGAAATAGATGTATCATTTTTTTATATCATGACACTGTCCATTTTTGCACGACATCGACTATTTGACTCAACACATTACTACGACATTTCGCGCCATAAAACTTTTGAATAAAAATGCAATCTTTCAACATTTGAAGTTATATATAGGCTAATCACACTTCTTTAATTTTCAAAGAATCATTCTCCTCAACTTGAACAAACAAAACAGTCAGATCCCCGAAAATTATATTTAACAATTAAATAAAGAATTTTAGAGAATTCTAAAAGTAAAATAGAAAAACATAAGTTAGAGAAGAAAATTCGATGGAACTCAATAAGATCGGTTACCTTTGGCTCCACCACTGCCATCGGAAACCAATAAGAAACGGGCTCAGGAGAGATCACCGCATCAAAATCACTTGAAGGCACACTCGATGAGATCTGCAACAAAGATTCAATCATATATATTTTTTTCAAGTCATTCTAAAAAGAAAATGATAGGAAAATAGAGGTCAAAAAAAAATTTGATAATTCATACATCTTCCATTTCAAAATTTTGGTGTCGATTTAGAACTGAAGTTGAACAAATTATTTCTTTTGTTTGTGAAAATTTGGAAAAGAAAGTTATTGTAAATATATTATGTATACATACATATATGTGCGTGTGTGTGTGTATATATATATATATATATATATATATATATATATATGTGTGTGTGTGTGTGTGTGTGTGTGTGTGTGTGTGTGTAAGGGCTTTTTTAATGTGTCATATATTTGTATTTGTACAGGTGGAAAGAGAAAGGCGAAATAGTTGAGCAATTACGTATTTTTTCATTATTTTCTTCTTACTATTTATTTTATTTTTATTTCTCTTAAATATATAATCTGATAATGAATAAGAAATCATATATTGTTGAAATATTGAAGATATTTTGTAATTCTAATCATATTTAGTTAATATTAAAGAGATTTAAAGCAACTCTTATTAATAGGATTCACGTTGTCAATTATCGAGATTACAATCTTATGTTATTCATATTATGTTAATTTTGACTTTTATCTGGAAAAGTAAGCTATTAATGATAATCTACCAATTATAAATATGACAAAATGTAATAAATTCAAATTGCAAAAAATTAGAAATAGAAATTTTTAATTAATAAGGTTTACCCAATAATTATAGTGTTTCACTTTAACTGATGTATTTTAATTTAGTATATATCTTATTGGGGATAATTACAATTTCCGTCCCTATAGTTTACTACTTATTCGATTTCCGTCCCTAAACAAGATGAAGTTACATTATACGTCACTAAACATTCCAGTTCTCTATTGTTTTAGTCCCTCCGTCCATTTAGCTGGTTAGTTTGGACGGAAAATAACACGTGCGTCGCACATGATACATAAAAGTCACCTTCTTCTTCAATGAACAACCGGATATTTACAACAATATCATAAAATTCCCAATTTCTCTTCAAAGCTCTGAACCCCTTTTTGAAATCACTAAATCCCTCACCAATTTACCTTATAAATCTCGTATACAAATCTTGAAAGCACAACAAGAAAGTGTGCGATTCAAATACGAAGGTTCTTCGTCAAAATGGGCTAATTTGAGCACCTGAGGAGAAGATATCGTGGGGTGTCCAAACTACGAGGTAAGTTTTAATATATCTTCATTTTTTGGTCGTTTGTTTTTCTTATACTATTTCACACAGTTTGCATTTCTTTTGGGTTAGCAGAAAGTTACATACTGCGGTGTATTCAAAGGGTATGATCCTGAAATATGTGCTAGATCGAAGAATGTTAGCCCGAGTTTCTGAGAAAAGTCAACAAACTGGAAACTGAATTTGCTAGCTGAAATGAAAAAATGAAAAAACTAAGACAAATCTGAAAATGAGAAGAGGTCCAGTGAAAGAAAAAAAAAAGGAAATTAGAGACTTGGATTAGAATGAAGTTGCAAAAAGTTCTTTTGGTTATGTTTGGTTGTTTGGTGGTTGGTTGGAATCACCAACAGAGTTTTATGCATGATTGGATTTCGAAAAGGAGCGTAGGGATTTCGAGAGAAAATTGGAGAAGCTTTTGTTTACATTCAATATCCGGCTCTTTATTAAAGAAGATGGGGATGACTTTTGTGTATCACGTGCAACCCACGTGTCGTTTTCCGTCCAAACTAACCAGCCGAATCGACGGAGGGACTAAAACAACAAAAAATTGGCATGTTTAGGGACGTATAATGTAACTTCATCTTGTTAAGGGACGAAAATCAAATAAGTGGTAAACAATAGGGACGAAAAGTGTAATTATCCCTATCTTATTGACATCTTGATATGGAGAAATACCATTCTCTTAAAACTACATCAATGATCAAGGAATTGATTTGTCAAATTAAAATCTCGTTGAAACTTTTACTAACTCAATTTGTTGATGTCCAACTTAACATTTAGTTACAAAAATAACTAATGAAGTTGATTATAGCTTGTTAATTGATGTTGGCTGGTATATTGGCCTTATAATTGAACCATTAACCTAATACTATCATCCCCCCCAAATATCGATCAGGCGAATGGCTTCGCGATACTGCATAATTAATTTCCCAAGCATGTGGAAGATAAATATGAGGTAGAACTACTTAATTTCTTATTAATGATGTTTTTTATGAAGTTTCTACTCCGTATAAATAGCTAAACAAAGCGACAAAAAATATAAGGACTTACTTCGAACAAGGTTAATCCAAGAAACAAGTTCGAGTGATTAAGTAGAGTGTCTACTCAAATATGGTTACTCCTTCACTTACTAGAAATAGAACCCTAATGGAATAACTTATACAATGCACTTCCGTTAGGGATTCTAATAATGTTTCAGGGGGTCATTTTGTAATTATTGATACCATAGGGACCTTAAAGTTATTTTAGCATACATCAAAGGTGTAGGTGTAATTTACCCAAACAAAAACTAAAAAACAAACAACGGAAGAAGATGGAGATGGTGAAGACCTAACACCTCCAAAGCACACCACCAACTTCCGCCGCACCGACCGCCTTCGCTGCCGCCGACTTCTTTAGCTCAGGCCGGTAGTTTTCCTGTTAATAATGCGATAAAAACTCTTCGATAATATGTTTATTAGCAAAAAATCCGACGAATCAATTTCTTTTAGCATACTATCCCCTCTTTCCTAAATAACACAACATTTACGCTTTGCTAAAATACACATCATAGAAGGAATCTTACTAATGCATTTTAGTATATAATACATGATTTTTTATCAATTCAAAATAATACGGTTTGTATTTTGCTAGTTCATTTAATATCTATAAAGAAGAAAAAAATAGCTAATGATTAGTCAGTTAATTAATCAGAGCGCCGCCGACATAAAGAAAAAAAAAAGTTAAAAGGAAAAAAAAATGTTGGATGTCCAGTTTCATCCCTCAAGTTTGCACTCATTTCACATTTAGTCCCTTAGGTTCACAAAAATCACATTTGGTCCTTCATGTTTTAAAATTCAACAGTTTTAGTCCTTCCCGTCAATTTTCTAATAGTACTAACGGAATCAAGTGTGTGTCAGTCATTGCCTTAACTGACGAACTAGCGGTAAACTGACGGAAATAACCAAAAATGTTAAATTATTGAAACATGAGGGACCAAATGTGTTTTTTGCGAACAAAGAGACCAAATGTGAAATCGGTGAAAACTTGAGGGATGAAATTTGTATTTTCCCCGAATTTTTTCTCTAACTCAACTCCATAAATGAATGAAACATCACAATAACAACAAATCATAAACATTTTTTCATTGAAACAATACATAAAAAAAACCACAAGAAAAGAGACTTCCAACAACTCTGTTCTTAGCTAGCCACATTGTTAAGGAACGTCAAATTGGACATAATTCTTTTTGAATCTTATGCAATTCATTAACAACATCTGCCATGGACTTCCGCTCCCTCGGCAATTCCTTTGAACACGACAACCCAATGCTAAAAATAGAACACATGCAATCCTCGAACTTATTGTTATCGTTTTGGTGAGGCCCTATACGAATGTGAGGATCCACAATTTCCATTACACGATCTGGCAATGCAGCTTCAACGAAATTGTGAAGATTGATATGATCCATAAACGAATCATCTGTTGGTCTTTTATTCGTGAATATCTCCAAGACAAGTATACCGTAGCTATATACGTCCCCTTTTGTCGAGACCGAGTTACTTGTGCCATATTCTGCAATATATAGATTCGAGATATGTAATAATTATATGGAACTTGTTGAAATAATGTTTAGGACAAAATGCACTTCACCCCCTATAAATTTTCCATTTTCGAACTTTCCCCCCTAATAATTAAAAAAATGTATATTTCAAAATATCATATTGGTTGCACTTTGCCCCAAAAGCCAATTTTTGCTGGGGATTATGCAACAGCAATAATATTTTAAAGGGTCGTCAACGTGAAGAAAAATAATGTTTTTGAAGGGACAAGGTACAACAAAAATAACATTTAAACGGGCAACGTGCAACAAAAACACTCAATTCTAGTGAATAATCTTTCGAAATTTTGCTATCGGCGCAATGAGCAACAAGAATAATATTTTGAAGGAGGACATTCACATTTCTAAATTTTTACGGGGTAAAGTGCAAAAATTAGAAATTTATAGGGGGTGACGTGCAATTTGCCCTAATGTTTATTGAAGATCAAATATAATTAATGAAGTCATATATACCTGGTGGAACATAACCAAAGGTACCCTTGATCCCAATTGAGCTGCTGCTTTGATTTTGTGGAAGTATGCTTGAAATAATCTTGGCTAGACCGAAATCACCAACGCAAGCCGTCATATCCTCATCCAGAAGAATGTTACTCGGCTTCAAATCGCCATGAACAATTGTTGAATCCGTACCACAATGGAGATATTCAAGCGCGTGAGCAACATCAATTGCAATTTTGAGCCTCTCGATCACGTCGAGATTTCTAAGTCGCGCATCGGATTCTTGTGCTTTATGATCGCCGTTGTAGTCCAACCATTTATCTAAACTTCCATTCGCCTTAAACTCGTAAACAAGCGCTTTGAAATCGTTTCCTTGGAAGTCTATGCTTTCGCAAACACTCAACATTTTCACGAGATTTCTGTGTCGTATGCCTCTCAGCGCGTTGCATTCCGCCGTGAAGCTCTTAGATGCCCCTTTTATGTCAAGATTGAGCACTTTCACAGCTACAACTATTAGGCCATCGTCAAGAATACCCTTGAAAACCGATCCGAATCTCCCACGACCTACCAAATTATTCTCGGAAAATCCACTTGTCGATTTTAAGAGATCCGAATAGGAAAGCCTCGGAAATTTTCCGCCAATGGATGATGGCGGAGAAGAGAGGCTTCTATTGGATGTTTTTCTTTTGTAAAGAATAACGACGACGCACGTAGCTAATAACGCAACTCCTGCTATTGGTATCGCGATTTTTAGTGGAGTTGATAAGTTTTTCTTTGAGGTACAAGAAGGAAAGTTTAACTCGGGAACTCCTCCGCACAATTTTCCGTTTCCTTGTAGGAAAATTTCACTCTTATTTTTAAACACTCCGGTTGTTGGCACTTCTCCTTGCAACCTATTGAAAGATAGATTCAATTGTTGGAGACGTAGCGTACCGAGAAAACTTGGGATTGTCCCGGACAAATTATTTCGTGAAAGATCCAAATTTCTTAATCCCATCAAAGAACTTAGTCCTTGAGATATTTGTCCTTCGAATAAATTTCCCTCCAAGTGAAGTTGTTCCAAGCTAATGCACATACCTAAAGAGTTTGGAATAACTCCAGACAATCTGTTGTTGGAGAAATCTAAGAATGCTAGGTTTTGCAATGATCCAACTTCATCTGGAATCGGACCCGTAAACGCATTGTTAGATAAATCCAAGGAAACGGAAATTGAGGGAAGATTCATAAGCTCCCGAGGTATGAAGCCGCTAAGACTATTACGGGAGAGATATATTTCTAGCAAGTTGGCGCAATTACCGATACTCTTGGGAATAGCCCCAGAAAGGTTATTTCCTTGCAAGTAAAGTTCGGTTAACAAAGTTAGTTTCCGAATGTGGATGGAATATCACTAGTCAATTCGTTACCTGTCATGTCGAGAAATTGCAAATTAAAAAGCCTCCCGATGCTCAAAGGAATAGGACCTTCAAGATAGTTTTCCCTCAGATTCAAGTAAGTTAGACCATCAAGATTCCCGATACCCGGTGGAATCTTTCCATGCACTTGAGTCCTAGCAAGCGCTAAAAACTCAAGGTGGACGGAGAGATTACCGATGATGCTGTCGGGTATTGCACCACTCAACGCAATCTCACTTAGATCAAGAATTTGTAGGTTTGTGCAATTCGTCAACGACGAAATGGAACTAATATCATCTTCGATCAAGGTGTCCCCGACGTACAAATATGTAAGCCGTAAAAGCTTTCCGAACCACCTCGGCATTAGGCCGGTGAAAGAGTTTAACGATAACGCTAACTCTTCAAGTAAGGAAGCGTTTGCTAGGGAAATTGGAATACTCCCACTAAATTGATTTTGTGCCAAACCTAGAAGCTTCAAATTAGGGAGTGTGCGGCCTATAGTTGATGGTATCGATCCGTGAAGATTATTACTATCGACTCCAAAATGATAAATAGTAGATATATTGAAGAGACCGGGTGGTATAGTGCCAGTGAGGTTATTTCCACCTAACTGAAGAAACGTTAGATTAGAAAGACGAGCAAGCGATTCGGGTATTTCTCCGTTCAAGCCGCAAGCAGCCAAAGAAAGATGTTTGAGAGATGTTAAGTTTCCAATGGATCGAGGGATACGCCCCGAAAATGTGTTTGCCGACAAATAGAGAGATTGAAGATTGTACAAAAAGCCAAGTTGTGGCGGTACGTTTCCCGAGAGTTTGTTGTCGATCAAGTTAAGATAAACTAGATTTTTACACATGGAAATATTTTCGGGAATTGTTCCCGAGAAGGAGTTATTGTCAAATCTTAAAAACTGAAGTCGCCTCAAAAGCCCGATTTCTTGAGGGATGGGGCCATCGAAGCTATTTTCTCGGAGATTAATGCTTCTAAGGAACGAGAGATTACCTATATGAGGTGAGAGTGATCCCATCATGCCTTGAGAATCAAAGTCTATGGCAACGACTCGGTCCGGGTGCTTACGACCGCATGTGATTCCGTTCCACCTGCAAAAGTTTGTCGTTCGATTCCACGTGTTTAGTGCTCCGTTTGGATCAAAGTGTATAGCTTGTTTCAAGGCTAACAAGGAAGTAATATCTGTTTGGTTACTGCTATAAGATGGTGCCGAAAAAGAAAGGATAAAGAAAGATAGAATTATAAGTGGGCTTGCCATAGTTTTTTAGACTAATGCATAACTTTTTGTTATGTATATATATTTGCGGTAGTGCATGAACAGGGTATATGAATATTCTAAGTCCACCAAGTCAACAAATTGATTGTTTGCCAAAGTTTTTTCTTTGCTTAATTGATTGATTGTGTCCACCAAGTCAACAAATTGATTGTTTGCCAAAGTTTTTTCTTTGCTTAATTGATTGATTGTGACTGAGACGTCGTAATCAATAACGAAGAAAATGCTAATTAGCACTTAATCCCTCTGGTTACAAGCTTTTTACAGATAACCCCATTATGATCGTAATAGATACATAGCCCCCTTGTGGTTGATAGCAGTAGTGTCTGTTAGTTTTTACGTCATTGCGCGTGTTAAACTTCAAGAGGGTCATCTGCAAAAATTAAAGGGAAACTGTAAGCACAGGGGTCTTCTGCAAAATATATCTGTTTGGTAAGGATTTCTAATTCTTTTCACACTTTTCCCAAAATGAAAATTATCTTTCCACAATATTTTCAAAAACTTTCCCCAAAAAAAATTCAAATATTTCTCTCGCTAACGAACATGTTTTGACCGCTACAGTAAAAATTGTCTTCACTAAAATACAAACTAAAATCACTTTATCTTTCAAATTCTTCATTCAAAATACATTTTTCCAACACCTTTTAGACATGATTTGACTTGTTACAGTATAAATGGTCTCCTTTTAAAGCACAAACAAACTTTATTTTATTTCTAAATTACTCCCCCAAAACACCTTTCTCCGGAATAAAATGGAAACGGAAGCCCAAAAGCTTACCAAAACATAGTATTTTAACCTTTGACATGCCAAGTTAATTTTGACGGAAAACCCAACAGAAGCTACCCCTATCAACCAGAAAGGAGTTATGTGCTCATATTACGAGCACAAGTAGATCATCTGCAAAAACTTGTAACTATAGGAGGTTAAAAATGCAAATAAATATTATGATTTGCCCAAAAGTTTAATTTAACTAAAAATCAAAACTTAACTCTCACAGATACAAAATTTTTCCGGGCATACATGAATACTCCAAATGCACCACATGTTTGCTGCTTGGAATTTTGCTAGAGTTCTCAAATGCTACATTTATTGTGTCGAAAACGTGTCAATCAATACAGACGACGATTTTAAAAGTCTCCTTCTAAATGCCCTACACCTGACGGTCTTCCTGTTTTGTTCTATATAAAATATTAGTTAATTCTCGATGTTAATGTCATAAAATGTGTGCTTGATTTCTTGATTTCCTGAACCATAGGAAACTTCCCTCTTCCCTTATCTTCAATTTTATTGTCTCTCCACCACTCAATCCTCTTTTGTCCTGATCGAAACGCCTAATAATGAATAATGTTTTGGTAGCTTACGAAATTAACCTACACATCAAATTAAATTCTAGAAAACGATCAAATTTATGGCAATTAAATTGGACATAAGTAAGTCATACGATGGGGAGTTAGATGTCACACCTGATTATTTACACTGTGTGCCGTAGATCTATACATAATCACATATGTGTAGATCTACAGCTTAAATTCACTCAGTATAAATAACCAGGTGTAGCATCTAATCTCCCGACATACCATCGTATTGAGTGAGTTCTTTTTTCTTTCTTTTTTTTTTTGGAAAAAGTCTTATGTTGTCTTGGTTTGCCTTTGGATTTTATCGAGTTAATAATGTTGTGTTTTTGATATGTTTTATTATTTAAGTTAATTAAAATTAGTCAAATTATATCTTAGTGGGTAGTTTTTTATTAGTGGGCATGAATTAAATTAGTGGGATAGTGTAGTTAAGGGGTTAGTGGGATGGTTGTTTAATTATTATTTATGATTATAAATAGGGTAATTAGAATGTGACGTGATTATGAAGTTTAAGAATCAATTAATCTCCCTTTGTCTTCTCAAATAATTCTCCTAATTCTAATTCTCCTAATTCGGAAAATCATATCTCTAGATTTCTTCTTAAATTCACCAACTATGTTTTCTTGCTCAAATTACTCAGAAATAATAATTAAACAACCATCCCACTAACCCCTTAACTACACTATCCCACTAATTTAATTCATGCCCACTAATAAAAAACTACCCACTAAGATATAATTTGACTAATTCTAATTAACTTAAATAATAAAACATATCAGTTTTCATCTGTATCTTATACTTTTTGTTCAATGGATCTGTCTTCTCATGAATAAGGTTTGGTTACCCCTTCTCTTTCTTCTGCTCATATTTTCATAGTGTGGGTAACATAGATGACCCTTCTTGACTGTGCGCATAACAGATTTGAGTTGGATAAATGAATTAGATGATACTATTTTCTTGATTCGTAAAATGGTGAGGCTGCGGCCACAGCCTTCTGTCACTGAATTCAACAAACTATTGCAAGTTGTTTCCAGGATGAAACAATACTCAGTCGCCCATAAACTGTTCGACGAAATGCGTCAACGGGCTGCCTCTGTAGATCAGTATACAATGAACATCTTGATTAATTGTTGCCTTTTGAGACAGCTGGGATAATTACAATTTTGGTCCCTATATTATATACTTCTTTTTTTTGGTCCATCAACTTTTTCTATCACAAATTGGTCCTCAAATAACTAGGTGTTTTTGCAATTTTCATCCACCGTTTGAAATTGCTCTTAATTTGGATGGAAAAGTCACATGCAAGGCATGTGATCATGCACTTCTACGGTCTACCTCCTCCCCTGTTTTACCTATATATTTTATTTGGCACCAGTTTAACTTTATTATTATAAACTCATCAAAAAATAAATCAAATCTCAAAAAAATTGTTTCGAATGCCCCATCCCCGCCCCGTCTGCCATTTTCAACTCCACCGCCGAGTCATCAACTAGACATATGTGTTACTTTCTTTTTTCATTGAAGTGATTTTTAATTGATTTGTTTTTTTTTTTTTTTTTTTTTTGTATTTTTTATTTGAAATTGAAATACTATTAAAAATTATTAAAGAATAATAAAAATACAATAAAATTTATAAGATTAGGCAAAATCGATTTTATTGTATAAACGACTAAAAAAATATTTATGAAATTACAATATATGTTTCATTATTTTTTACACATCAATAATTCCAAATAATGAAATAAATTGTATTTATAAAATTAAAACAAAAAACTCTTTAATAAAATTTTGCAAATCAAATTAAGTAGAGATTTTCTATTAAAAATTAAAATAAAGAAATAAACAATATTTGTGAATGAAATATAATGTACTAATTCCTAGAATTCCTATGGTATTTTTGTCATTTTACATTTTTAGTACATTTCTGGAATTTAATTTTATTTGGACGAAATTGTAAGAATAAAGTGGTATTGGGGTTAAATTAACAATATAGGTAAAAGGAAGGGGTTAATGTGCATTGTCACGTGCCTCACTTGTGACTTTTCCGTCCAAACAAACGGCTTTAAATGGTGGACAAAATTGTAAGAATAAAGTAATATAGGGGTTAAATTACAAGTATAGGTAAAAAGAAGGTGTTAATGTGCATTGTCACATGCCTCACACGTGACTTTTCCGTCCAACAAACGGCAATTTTAATTGGTGGACGAAAATTGTCAAAAACCAGTTATTTGAGGACCAATTTCATGCCAGAAAAAGTTGAAGGACCAAAATAAAAAATGATGTATAATACATGGACCAAAACTGTAACTATCCCGACACAGGTAGGCAGTGGTTTTGCTATCTTTGGTTGTTTCAAAATAAGATTAGCTTAGAAGCTTAATTATGTTATCCAAGTTCATTCGTGACTTGAAGTATATATATATATATATATATATATATATATATATATATATATATATATATATATATATATATATATATATATATAAATGCGTATATGTCGTGTTGCGTGCAGAGTTCGTGTGGGACACAATCGTAAAACAGACTGATCTGAAGGTTAATTCGTAATGGCAAGCAAAAAACAAGCATCACATAAAGTCTATATATATATATATATATATATATATATATAGATATACAAATACAATCACATCAAGTACTTCATGTATTACCAGCTATACTGTTTAACCAAACTAGTCGAAGTCGGAGGATATTGATTTGATTGGTAAATACCATCGGGCAGGGCGGCCCAATAGCATATCCCATTCGGACAACGTGAGTCGGGCCAATGATAATCAAAAACATCAAAAGATGCACTTTTCCCGTTCCAATAAAGATGACAAAAGAACAAAGTGCTTCTCTTCGTGCAAAAGTCCCAATGAAAATCCTGATTTGTTGCAAGTGTGTGATTTCCTAGATCGGTATCGCCCGATTGACAACGCAAAAATAAATATGGGGTACCTGGAGGCAGGTTACTAACGACATGTACCGTGATTTCAGCCGTAAAGATACATGTACGTTTTTCCGATGCCATTGCTTGGAGAAAGATAGTTAAAAGGATGAAGAGTTGTGACACTTGCTTGCTCATAGTATTAGAAAACATGGTTTCTTTTTTGAATTTTTGGACTTTGATGTATTACATTATTTGTGTGTGTGTTTGTGTTGGTTTTATAGACGAACAAGCTCGGTCAAGTCAAACATTGCGGAAATATGGATTCGGAATTGGACAAATCGGGCAATATCGATCTGGGCACGCTCGCGAACAATTTGTAACGGATTACTCAGATATTAATGTTGCTTTTGGGAAATAAGTAAATTATGGTGATTATTTTTGTATGGTATTGAAATCAAATCATTAGAGTGACTACAAAAACTATCTATATGTATTTTTTACCAAATTGAACACTTGCTATAAATTGATAAATGAATTTAAAAATATACTATACATGTATAATATAGCAAATTGAACAGCTAGCAGCCTACCTACCATAAACTAATGTTTGAATTTCAAAGTTTATGCATATCTCTATTATAACAATTAGCAAATAGGGCAGTCACCATTAGTCATATTACGAATTTAAAAATCTACCATATCTACGTTATAGCTATGGGTGGAAATCGAAACGAGATTTCCGAATTTCGTAGTTCACGATCGAAAAGTATTCGAATTTAGAATCATTTTTTTTCATTTTGGTTTTGGAAACTCCAATATCTGATTTTTTTTCCATTTTTTTTTATGTGAACCGGAATCGTATATAAAATTACCATAAATTCTGGTTTACAATCCAAATTTAGTTCTGAATATTTCGATTATCTTCCAATCCAAATTTAGAAATAATGTTTTTTTGGAATTTTTTTTGCGTCCAGATTCCAACATTGACTTTTTTTGTTTTTTTTTGAACTTTTTTTTCTGCAAAGTTTTTTTTGCAATCACTTTGGACATATTTTTATCTTATTCGAACTCTACATTTTGAAGCAAGATGATCATAATATATGTGTTTTTTGGCTTGTATATATCAGATTGTGGTGCACCATATTCTGAATTTTTACACAAAACGAGTACAAACTAGAGCACATTCCATGTAATCTAGATGATTATGTTGAATTTGACACCATAAAGGTGGAGGTGTAAGAAAAAATCATAGTTGATGGGTAAATGTAATTATCCAAACAAGATGAGTTTTTTTGTAAATTGACCATACCTCAGGGGTGTTTATAATTTACCCTTTATTGCAACATCAAAACTTAGAAGAAAATTCAAATGAAAATGAGTCTGAATCATAAAGGTGAGGAGAATCAGTACAGTTTTCAGAGGTAGAGGAGGGTTGGCTTTTTGGTTTTATGTATGAAAAGAAATAGTAAAGTGAGAAATTCAGATTTATTCCAAGTGTAAGAAAACAAAAGAGTGAACTGGAAAAATATAGGAAAATTACATTGTTCGTCTTATTTTACCCACTTTCTCAAAATTGTCCCTAAATATTTCGGAGTTACAATATTAGTCCCTAATCATGCCATTTTTTGACAGAATTGGTCCGCCGTTTATTTTTGCAGTTAAGTTGGATGGAAAATGGCATGTGCCTCTCACAAGCTTTCAATTTACAACACTGCATGAAAATGGACTTTAAAGTTTTAACAATACGCATTGCATCTTGTAAAACTGATTTTTCATAATAATTATTTTTAATTAAAATTTAATACAAAATCGAAATCACATAAATTCCCAAAAAGTCAACTGGATAATTGTTTCAAGATATTTTCGAATTTTTTTTAAAATCAAAATATAGTCTAAAATTTAAAATATTGTTTCAAAATCGGCATTTTTCGAATTCGATTAAATAATATCGTTTCAAACCAAAAAAAAAAAAAAAAAAAAAAAAAAACCCGATAGGAATTGAGGAATTATAAATCGTTATTCCAATTTTCACCTCTAGTCAATTCCAAAAATTCCACTTTTGAAACAATATATCAAGTTTTAAATGATTCAATATGGGTGAAATTTGGAACGAAGTTTTCTGATCACGCCTAGTTGGATCGAATTTTTACTTTATTTTAAAATAATATTTTCATTCAATTTCCAAAAATGCCAATTTTAAAACACTATATACATTTTTTTAGACAGTATTACGATTTTTTTTTAAATATTTCTGAATTTATTTCGAAAAAAAGTATCGATTTTTAGATTATTAAATAACGGTGAAAATTAGAACAAAGTTTTCTTACTCCGTCTATTACGATCTAATTTTTATTTCATTTAAAAGAATAATTTTCATTCGGATTCGAGAAATTCCGGTTTAAAAACATTATATTATTTTTTTAGACAATACTTCTAAAAATATTTTGAAACAGTTTATGAATTTTAGATTATTAAATAAGAGTGAAGATTGGAATGGAGGTTTCTTTTCCCGCCGATTCTGATCGAATTTTTATTTTATCTTGAAACAATATTTTCATTTGAATTCTGAAAATCTTGATTTCGAAAGCAATATTTTATTTTTTTTAAACAATATTTCAATTGTTTAAAGAATATTTCTCAAAAGAGTCAAGAATATTGTAATTTTCCCGAAAAAATACACATTTTGTTTAGGATAATTGATGAATATATTAATGCCTCGTTTGGTTGAGGAGATTAGCCATTATTAACTGAATAATTGGATTTTGTTTGTTGTTTGATATCTCCAATAACTTACCGGTTTGACATGCAAATATTATGTTATCTTGCATTTTAGGAAACTTTTTCGTTGGACATTTCAGGGTCCGATAAAATAATTGGGTTTTTAATAGACTATTTAATCTTATCTTGACTTATCTTATTTTGGCAACCAAACGAGGCATAAGCAAACGAATACAAAAATGAGTCGACAACCGGCCAACCACAATCACAAAAACATGAAACACGAATATCATTGGGAGGACAATGCAGAAACCCAAATAGAAATTCATGAAGAAAAGAAAAATCAATAATGACCAACATATTACAAAACAATGGAAAGACAAGAAGAGAGCAAGTGTGTGTGTGTGTATGTATTGTATTCTTCTTCAAGTGTATTACAACTCCATATAATGGTGTCCCTTTTATAGTACAAGAAGACCATTCAAAAGGTCATGAGTTACGAGGGAATGAATGGCCTTAACATCCACCATAGGTTACATAATACAACAAGCCATTTTCAACATTCCAAAAACCTAATTAAACTCGACAAGCCGAAAATAAATAATTTATATTTTCGGAACAACTTTCTTCATCAGTTCTAAAAGAACATCATCTTTCTTGGACCCTTGCAGGTGATTAATTAACATGGACGAAGTAGATGCGTCGGCAAAGAATCCTTTTTTGTGCATTTCCTCTAAGAATGGCATTGCCTTGTCCAACTTTTTCTTCTTCAACAAGCAATGAATAATGATGTTGTATGTCATGCTATTCGGTGCGCAACCACTTCTCTCCGTTTTTATAAGCAAATCTTTTGCCTCGTTGACGAACCCTTCTTCACAAAGTGTACCAATAATGACATTATATACGTGATTATTAGGTTCCAACCCTTTGGAAGGAAGTTCGTTTAAAAGCTTTTTCGCATCTTCAAGTTTCCCATCTTTGCACAAACCATTAATCAGGATACCGTATGTGACTATACTAGGACTTACTCCTTTGTCTTCCATCATCTTTAGAAATGAAAACGCTTCAGAAATCTGACGAGTCTTGCACAAGCCTTCCAACAAAGTATTGTAAGTACGTAAATTAGGATTTACTTGCCGAGCTTCCATATCTTTATAAAGTTTCCATCCATCAGCGTTTCTACCTTGACTTAGTAATCCATGTATCATGGTGGTATAGGTAATTGTATCAAGGTACTCTAAACCTTTAGAAGAAGCTTCGAGAAAAAGACGCCAAGCTTCATCCACTTTACCATTCTTGCAATACCCGTTGATTAAAGAGTTATAGGTGACGATGCATGGCTTAAGGCCGTTGCCCGTTATAGAATCAAATACTTCTTTTGCTTTATCCATTTTCCCTTGCAAACAGTATCCGTCTATCAACGCAGAGTACGTGAAAATATTAGGACGAATGTTTTGTCGCTTCATAATTTCCAAAACATCTTCAGCCTCTTTAACATTTCCTTCCTTGCAAAACGCGTCCACTAATATACTAAAAGTAACAACATTTAAGGAAATCTTGTTATTGACCATTTCATTTAATAAGTCTTTGACCTCTTTCCATCTACCGAAATCGCACAAGCCCTGAATCATCGACGTATATGTTACAACAGTGGCCGAAAGTCCCTCGTCAATCATTCTAGATTTGAGCTGGAGAGCATCATCCACCATTCCGCCTTTACATAAGCCATTAATTACTGCATTATAAGCCTTAACATTGGGCTTATAGATCGTCTTTTCCAATAACAAAAGCAAATCATGGGCAGTATGAACACGTCCAGCTTTGCAGAGCCCATCTATCGCAGTAAGCTGAATCGTAACATCGTTCGGCTCACAAAGTTTCAAAGTCAAAATCTTCTTGAACAATTTTTCCGCATCGGCCACTTTATCATCTAAAAAGAGCCCTTTTAAGAGGGTGGTGAATGTTGTAACATTTGCCTCGTAACCGTGTTTAAGGAAGCTGCCGAAGACAGCAAAACCAACGTCTACACGCTTCAAATGGCAGCAACAATTAATCAAGATGGTCATTGTGTACTCATTTACAGGAGCACCCAGTTCACGCATTTCGTCGAACAGTTTGAGGGCAACCGAGTATTGTTTCAAATTGACAATAACTTGCAACTGTTTGGTGAATTCAAAAATGGGGGGCTGCGGCCGCATTCTAACCATTTTGCGAAACAAGAGAATTGCTTCATCTACTTCGCTTTCACAGCTCAAATCTCTTTTGAAATTAGGTGAAAAAAGTCTCTCTTTGTGGCGCACGCTATGAAAATTTAAAGAAAATAAAGAGAATGGATCAGCAAAAATACAATAATTAGGAGAAGATTTAGCAGCAATTGCTCTACGAATAGCAGAAATCCTCATCTTCTCGAAGCGATTTTTGTGAAGAAAATTCTACTGCAGTGCAAAATGAAATGAAAAAGGTGGACTCGGTTGTTTAATGGATATAATTGACTAATTACATCTAGACCCCTTTAAAATAGTATAATTACAAAGTATTTTTATTGACTCTTAATTTTGCAACTAAGTAATTGTTTATTCATTACCTTCCCTCTAAGTTTATTTTAATAAAAAGTGTTTATTGCAATTAGTACCCCTATCTTTATTATTTATGATTCAAATTTTGTTAGCACACAACCCCTGACCAGAGTTACTAAAATAACAAAGAATAGTTGTTTTGCAATCTATATATCTATATATCTATATATAATATAAAAAGAGGATCTATGCCCTCAATGATTGACATGTGGCAAATGATGATGTCATTTATCAAAATTGCTTAGTTGGAGTTCAATTGATGAGGTGGATTCTTTAATTGGTGAGTTGTGAATTTTATTTTGGTATGTATTTAAGTTATTTCCTATTTAACATTTATACACTCATTTAAACAATTACCACATGTATATATATATATTATTCCAAAGGTAATATTTTATAAATTTGAAATAAAAAATCTTATTTACATTTTCAATATTTCAAAATATATTTATTGAAAAAATTTATGATACTCAATTATTTTACGAATATTCAAATAATTTTAGAAAGAAATATTCTTTTTAATATTCAAATATTAAAATAAAGGAATACAATTGTTTTTTTTTTTTTTTTTTTTTGAATTTTCAATATTTTGGAATATTCGAATATCCATTCCATTAAAAATAATTATAAAACAAATATTTTTATTTTTTTAATTGTACTATTTAATCTATATATTATATAAAAAGAGGATCTATAGTCTCAATGAATGACATGTGTCAAATTCTTATGTCATCTTCTCAAATTGCTTAGTTGAAATTAAATTGCTTATGTGTATTAGTAAATTGCTTAGTTGTCATTTTTAATTTGGTATATATTTAAGTTGTTTCCTTTTTAACATTTGCACACTCATTTAATTATTAGCACATATACATATTCTTTCATGAATTTTATATTTTAAAACGTAAGAGAAAAATATTATTTCACTTAATTAATTTTCCAAATATCGTAATATGCTGATTGTATTTTTTTTTATTTTTTTTTTGCATTATTTGATTTAAATTTGTAATTTAAATAATTATGTTAATTATAAGTTTGTGGTTTGAATATACATTTAAATAATTTGTAAAACATTTAAGTGTAATTGAATATGCATTTGAATAATTTATGACATTTAGATTAAAAAAAAAAACTTATGATATTTATAAAATTTACCTTATTGAGTTTGATTTGTTCTTTATTTAAGTTAATTTATGACATCTAGATTTAAAAAAAAAAACTTATGATATTTATAAAATTTATCTTATTGAGTTTGGTTTGTTTTAAGGGGCTATTAGTGAGAACCCCCTCTAGTATTTTTTTAATAAAGATGGGTCCAGCCCCATTTCCTTTATTAGTGATAGATCCAACTTTTTTTAATTCTCAAATTTACCCTTTCTTACTATTCACTATCCACTACTTTAATATCTATTTCATTTTTTTTCTTTTAATTATAATATTCGTTTATTTATTTAAAAAAAAAAAAATTCTTTTTCAATTTTATTATTTTTATTGTACAGTTTTTTGTTTTCATACCGATTATAAAATTCCGAAAACAGCTATAAAATTTCCGTAATCAACTATTTCCGAAATCAACTATTTCCAAAATCAACTATTTCCGAAATCAACTATTTTCGAAATTGACTATTTCCAGAATCAACTATAGATTACTGAAAACAACTATTTTTTTTGTTCGTTTAATTTATTTCTCGAAACAACAATCACAAAAAATAGGTATATTTAATAGCAGGTTTACTAAAATTATATCAACTACAAATTGACGAAAATCAACCATAACAAATTGAAATTAACCAAAAAATTTATCAAATCAACTTAAAATTATCTAAACCAACTATAAAAATCGAAAACAACTATAATTTATCTAAATCAACTATAAAATAAAAAATCTCAATTTAAGAGATTAAACAACTATAGTTCAATCCAGATGCTGGACATTACAGTTGCATATCCATCGAGAAAGGTCTATATCTCCACCGACCATGTGTTGAATCCGAAGTCTGTGAGGGTGATTTGTTCCATCGCCACTGTCTCAACCACTCCCCAACTTCTACATGTCAATAACTCTCAGGTGAAGAAAGGACGCAAATCCCTTGCGTTAACCGTCAATTACCACTCTGCCACATCAGATCCCCACTGCGGATACCTAAAATGGTTTTAGAGAAAATTAGTATAAAAAATCAACTACACACACATTTTTATCGAAAATCATAAATACATATCTGAACCGAATCTGAAAATTCGATCTAAAATTGGCAAAAGATAGGATGAATTAACTGCTTTGCTCCGATGAGTTTTTTTTATCACCGGTTTCATCCTCGGGCTGAATGAATCGGCAAGAGCCGCGACTCGAGGCAATCAGAGAGCGATTGTTGCTTACTGAATGATGGCTTCTGGTATTTGGCGAGACTCAAAAAGAATAAAGGATTAACGAGAACACCGTTGGTCGGTGACGACGGCGGTGGATGGAGGGCAGCGACAACGGCGGTGGACGGAGGACAGCGACGATGGCGGTTGACGGAGAGTGGCGGTGAGGATATGAGATCTGGTTTAGAGTTGGGGATAGAAACGAGAGAGAGGTGGTGGCTGGAGAGAAAAAAAGAGATGAAGAAGAGAAATAGGGTTTAGTGATTTTATATGATAACTAAGGGTAATATAGACATACCCCTTAAAATCTGAATTTATGTTTAATTAAAATATTAAATAAAGGGGGTTCTCACTAATATGTAAAATGAAGTCATATCCATCTTAATATAGTCAAATGTATTGGGCGGTTTTCACTAATTATCCCTTGTTTTAATTGCTATGATGAATATCCAGATTTCAAATATTACTTTTCTAGATCTTGCCAATCAATTATTCTGTGTGAAAGGTAAGTTGTAATACTCATTTTTTTTTCTCTAATTATGCAAATCAACTGTTTTTTTTTTCATAGAATCATGGACACAATGTTTGACAAATATATATATATATATATATATATATATATATATATATATATATATATATATACCTCAGGGCCCCCATCCCTTGGCCCGACAAGGATTGATGGAGGAATGTAAATCATGATAACTCAACGGCCCGTTAAGGTAGCGGACTCGGACCTGGTGCCCACAAGGAACCAACCCTCATTGGAGTTGAAATTCCCACACTGCGGCTGCCAGGATTCGTTCCTAGGACCTTGCACCAACTTACCACCTCCGGAACCAGTTGAGCTACACCCATGCGGGCAGAATATAATTACTTTAGACGTTATGTTGAGTAATAAATTATTATTATAAACTTTCTTTTAATATATCCCTTCTATTCCGCAAAATTGCTCTATATATGTAGTTTTTTACTCACATTTGTACTCCATGCCTGCAACTTCTTCTTCCCTATACTCATTTCTTCTCTAATTGTCTAACATCTTTAATTTCTTTCTTTTGACAAATTAATCGAAAATATTAGTCAAATAACAATTTGTATCTATCTGCTATCATTTGAATCCGTCTCCCCTAAATCTTCTATATTGCCATAATCATATTTATATTTTTGCATCAAGTATGTACGTAGTCGGTTCGATGGAATATCTTTGATTCCGGTGCCGGCGCTTCTCAATTGAAGCTTATCTTTATTGCAATTCCACGAAATTTTTTATTATTGTTTATTTATGTTAATATTAAATATCTGTATTCGATTTTATTTTTAGATTGTTTCGGCTTATTTCCATCACTTTTTCGGGTGTTTGTGTTGTTAAGGTTGAAGAGCCGTTTTTGGAAGGCATCCAAATTTCCTAACTTAACTGTGTTTTTTGATATGTTAATGTGTATTTCAAACTTCAAATTCAAAATTTCCTGACTTTTTTCTCTTGAATGGCCTATGTGTATGAAATATTTAATAATGAGATTCAAATCTACCATTATAATCAAATGAACATTGGAGTAAACAAATGAAAAAAAGAAAATAACATAAAAGTTGTGATGGGGAGTTCACTTTGATATCATTTCTTATTTGATCTTCTTTTCTTTATATTGTAATTTGTTTTAAATTTTAATATTGGTTTTTTTTTATCTTTACACGTTTTTTTCTTTATTTTTTCACGTAAACACAACTTTAAAATCATCATAACCTAATCCATCACCCCCATTAGATTTTTATTCCATATTTCTTTATTTTTCTGTTATTTTTTATGGATTCTCATTCACTTGTATTTTTCTTCACGTAAACACAACTATAAAATCATCATAACCTAATGTATTTATTATCTATATATAATATAAAGGGTGAAAATTTAGACCGGATAGCCTGTTTTAATAGGAAAATCGGATGACATAGGATGATTGACACGTGGATAATTTAAACAAAAATATAATTAGAATTCTAATAATTGTAAAAAAGAAAAATAAAAAAAGGAAAAAGAAAACCCCAGCATAACACCCATGTCCCGTAACCCCTCTAACCCTAATTATAATCAGCATGATTTATTAAGAGTTAAGACTTACGAGTGCCACATGTCAAAAATTAGTAGAATCCGATTTATATTAAATATCGGCTGATCCGCTCAGAATTTAATCTCTACTATAAAAAGAGGATCTATGCCCTCAGTGACATGTAGCAAATATTGATTATTGTGGCATCTCAAATTGATTAGTTGACTTCTCATTTTTTTATGAGTTTAATTTGTTTCCTATTTAATATTTGCACAATCATCTAAACATTATCACATAAACATACATTTTTTAATACATTTAATCTATATATAAATTCGAAAAATATTTATCTTATTTATACCTTTAATTTTTGAAATATATTTGTTTGAATGTTCAATTTTATGAATATTGAAATAAATT